ACGGCATTACGAATATTCTTACCACACTCGTAACACTGTGCTGACGTGTCGTCTTCTATTTGCATTTTTTTACCACAACAAACATACTTATTTGGCTTAGTAGGTACAAACTTGGGTTTTAAGCACTTTATACAGAAGTCATAAACAAACTCTTTACAATCTTCGCACTCCATATATAGACTAACATATTTTACATAGACGCGGGATGCGGGTAATCGCGGTACGAATCGAGGGGGGTACTTTAGGCGGGTAATCCTCCGGTTGTCGTTGCGCTGGAACCCCCATCCCCTATACTACTCATGTTTTCGTTTGCTTCGAAATTCCCAGCCGCAAATGCGTCCAGCAGCGCTTCCGTTGCCCACGCAATGCAGGTTTCTTTGCCTTTTCGCAATGCTACGCGGTGTCCTCTCGCAGGCCAAACGGTATTTACGTTTTTGGGCACTGCGTATCCTAGTATTTTGTACTCCCCTGCAGGTATTTCTTGCATTCGGTGTACTTTGGTTCTGCGGGGCGCGGAATCCTCTAGGAAATCGGAAGCGTCCTGGCCAAAGAACAACTTGCGCAGATTGTCTGTCCTTCTGGAAATCCTATCCAATGTTTTCCTGTATTTCTCCAATTCTTTCTCTATTTTCTTTCTGTCCTCTTCATTTTGCCGCAGCACGGAGTTCCTTTGCTCCAGGAGTTCTGCGTGGTATCTTCTTGTGGCTTCTACCCACTCGTCTCCTTCCAAGTCGTCCCGTATGTCTTCCAATCTTTGCTGTCGCTTTCTTTTGCACAGGAAGAATATTCTGCGGTCCGTAGGTACTTCTAGTACTCCGAAGAGACTCTTTTCCACTCCTATCTTTTTTGCCTTTTTCGTGCGCCATACCCACTCCACGTGTTCCGTAGTTGGGAGAAACTCTGCGATAGTAGGAGGATCTTTGTGCACTCTGGTGGGTTTGTTAGACTCCGCCAGCACCGTAGGCGAGTCTTTCGTGTAGCATCGAAGTGGAGCTATGTCCACAGGGTCCAATCCTCGCACATCTATGCGGAATATGGGGCATTTGCGCAGTCCGAACTCTGCTATGGTCCAAAGTACGCATTGTTCCCATTTTTCGTTGCCTCGTACGCGTATGCCGGCTATCCTACCTGTTTCTGCGTGGCAGTACCAAGCTAGGATGATTTCTTTTGTCTCCTCGCAGCAAATACACAAACATCTATCCAAGTGTTCCGCGAGTGCCAACCACATGTTCTTTGGCGGTTGTACTACGAATATGTTTTCTAGAGGCTCTATGGTCTCCGCGATGGCATTTGTGTGTTCTTTGGAGAAATCCCTGCCGTAGATGAATATTTCCACTCTGCTGCATCCTCTTCCCTGCACATCTGGGTGTAGGAATGCTCTACGCAGGTGGTCGTTCGGACAATCCACGTACTCTGCAAGCTGCGCCTACTGGATTCTGCACTTCCCCGGCTTCGAAGTTGGATGCTATTTTGTTGTATATTTTCGTCCTTTTTCCGTTTTCCATCCAAGTGCAAACGTGGCTGCCTACTTGGTGCGTGTTGTCCAAAATAGTACCTCTGCGTCCATCCAGTTCTCCCTGGTGTAGCAATCTGCGTACCAAAGCTTTTCTATCCAAGGTTCCGGAGAAATCCTGCGTGTAGTCTACGGAATAGATACCATATCCGTGGGAATCTAGCAAAGTAGCAAACTGGGGTATCTTTTCCTCTACGGTTTCTATGGACAATTCCGAGGTGTCTACTTTGGCTACGAATACCGCTGCGGGTTCTCCATGCAAACTGGACCACTTGGCTGCCATGTAAAAGACGCGATCTACTATTTTTCCTTGCCTGCAACTGTGTACTATTTGGACATGGTAGGAACGTACCAAAGGCTTCCTGGGTCGCAGTGGATATTTTGGAGACCAGCGTTTTTGCGTTTCTGCATATACGTCCATACATGTCGTTCTCTGCGACAAATCCATAGACAAACACATCGTCTACGAACGATGGTAGCCCGGACAGCGGCTGCAGGTTGGTAGTACCTTCGTTTCCGCGCAAATAGTCGCACTTGGATATGTCGGACAGTAGATTTCCATCGTATGCGTTGTCCAACAGTAGGTGTGCCAACACCCTATTTTTTGCACGTATACCCATCTCCTGCAATGTTGCCGAAATACTCTTTTGCTCTTCCATCTTCTATATATAGGAGTAGAAGGTTTTTGGCTACTAAGAGCGGTGTTTCGCAGCCCTTGCAAGGTAGCGGTGTCTTGCCGCGCCCTTTGGGGCCTGCGTAGTACAAGGGACTCGGCCCATACAAAAAAGGAGAGGCAAATCGCACCACGGTATATTCTGGTGCTTGTTCCCAGCGCAGCAGTGGTTCCGAAAATACTACTTTGCATAGAAGTGTGTCTACTAGGAAAGCCCGTGTGGGAGTAGGAAAGGTAGCCGAAAATGGTTGCCGAAAAAAGGGGAAAAAATATGCTCTTATAAATGCTTTTGATGGCATCCATCTATATCTAGGAAATATTTTAACCTTCGTTTGCAACACTACAGAATTCTTTACATTCGTGCATTGTATATAGAACAAATATCTTAACTTAGTAATGCGGGGAACCGATAAAACCCGTAGAGAGCTTTTCGAATCAAATTACGCAGGCAATACCCAGACCGACCTTACGGGTAATACCCGCGGCCGACGCACGTACGTGAGGGCGGGCAATACCCGCATAATTCCGGGAGGTGACCGCGAGTCCCCCTTACTGCTGCTCACTATGTCCATGAAATAAAATCTAAATAGTTACTACCTAACAGTTTTTATTTAGCGACTAATAGTCACTATCACTCAACTGAAACAGCTACGCCTGGCTACGCCTCGTGTTTTATACCCGATAAAACACTCCTGCTCGTTTTTTAAACAGTACTTAGAGATGTATTGCTAACTATAAAGGCTTTGTACCACCATGTTATCAGGCAGCCATGACCCGAGACATGAAAAATAGACCCCTTGCAGAACGTTAGAATGCAGCTCAATTTGGAGGACACAACAATAGGTTCCCGATTCTCAGGAGATTGAAATTCTTTTGTATTGTCCTTCAAATTGAGCTGCTTTAACGTCACATGCAATGAGTCTATAATCATACATCATTCATCATCATGTTGGATGAGATGTCAAACTTGATTTAATATCTCATCCAACATTCCCTGTAACGCGTGTATTTCTTGTATCTGTCTTATCCCTTTCTTTAACTTGTCTTTGGTTAGACCATAGTTAATAGAGGAGAATGCTTAGGAAACCTATTGTTATCAGGTCTTTGTACGCTTTTGATTCGAAATTGCAAAATAAGTAAATATAACCTTTGTGTATGGGATTGTTGTAAGGAATATTCAAATATCTCTTATGAATCTTTTAAAAGTATTTTGAACTAGCAGCCAAAAGAAAGATTTTGGTCTGTTCACTCATCCACTGCCAACAATGGTAAAACAAAGGATTGTGCAGGGTCGCGCTTGAAAAAAGTGAACAAAGACTCATAACAAAAGGGTTTCCTAACCATTCCCCTCTATTAACTATGGTTAGACAAGAGAGATTACTGGCGTCTCAGCTTACTCCGGTATGTCTTCTCGGGATTATTGTCCTATATATTCTTTTGATTCTTTACGTTTTGGTTGAAGGCGGTTTACATCACCCTGGAAATAACATTTTTAATTCCTTTCATTAGTATTATTATTTATCATTAACAATAGTTTAGTATCATTATTGCTTTGTTTTTACTTTACTTCTTCTTTTCTTTGTTAGATTATTATTTTCCTTTATTAGATTATTCTAATGCATGTTATGTTCACCAATGAAAAATGTTTTCGAATATCCATAAAGGGCTAATGTGTCGGTATCATATATTCTTTCTAGCTAAGGAAGGAGTATTTCCTTTATTCTCGCTTATTAGAGGAAAGGGGGAATTAACGAGTCGTTTCCAAGTCTTGTTCTTTCAAATGAAAGTTCAAACAACTAACTTGCTATGAAACAAGTGTGCGATAAAGGAATCCCATTGTATTTAGTGTATTATTGTTTTTTCGTATAACGAAACAAAACAATCCCTTTGATCTTTTGACGATTGAAATCATTGTAGGCTGGTAATGAGATCCGTGACGTTAATTTATTGAATGATTGATATCAAGTAATCGAATAGTCTTTGGTTGATAGCACATGACGAGCAGTATTTGCCCGTAGACATTGTACTATCTATAGATAGATTGTAGGCTGATAATGAGATTCATTCAGCTGATAGATCGACAGATAGATTCTTTTTCATCATAAGTCTTAATTCCCCTCCCCCCTTGGTATTGCCTTACCTTATTTACACCCATATAACTCTACCCTCAACATGATACGTTTGAACCATGTCTTTGGTCGTATCCTGATGTACCTCGCAATGATAGCAGAATTCACATCGTTCTTAACAACAGTGATCTGGTCGCTGTTTCCTGAGAATGTCTTCCCTTTCTCGTAGTCTTCATAGGTACTGTCATCTACACTATACTGCAGGCCGTAGCTTTTCACCCATGTTGCATACACTGGGTTACCTTGGGTTGCCACCCCTGTCACCTTAGCAAGGGTGCCAAGATCGACTTGAAACCACTGATTGACATCATTAATCTTGGCTGCCCATGATCCATGGTTATACCTATGGTTTCTCTTAAAGTTAAGTCTTCCATAGGCTGGAAGTAACCAGGCTGAGTAAGTGGATGAGGCTGAAAGCTGTTGGTCAGTAATTGTACCGTCTTGCATTCCAAGTGCAGAACCAGTATTGCAACTTACTGAATAAATAAATAAGATAGGTGCAAAATTAATGAAGTTTTCTTTATTCCTTGACTCTATTTACATTAGTATACTTCTTTAGCTCAAGACCACGAGTCCTCACTAATCCGGTTTTTTTTTTTTTGAAAATGCAAACTTGCGTATCGACCTAGCATCTACATGCACTAAACCGATCGAAACATCCTTCAATGAAAACGCATACATTTGACTAACACTCTCCAGAGTAGAGATATTTGAAAATGGAGACATGAGGAAACGGAGATGCGAAGTTTTCGATGCATTTTCGTTTCGAAAGCGCATTAGCGTGGACGCTGTACTAGCCATTGAGGTCTTCTCAAATTTATTAATAATTCATAAATTCAACGACGAATTAGAAATTCTTATTTGCTCAGGTAGATAAGTCTTGATTGCCTGTGAAACAATTTTAGAACCTTGAAAGGCATTCCGAATCCAGAGCAAGAAAGATCACATGTGAAATTTCCGTACCCATACTTATAACTTACAATCACGGGCTCGCTATACCATTTCCCTCTAAGGCCCCATCCCCACATATCTGGAAATTTTTGTATCCGCAAATCAATTTTTTTTCTTCTTTTTTTTGCGGATAAGGGTTGCGTCCACAAGTGTCAGGAAATTTTTGTATCCGTATCCGGAAATTTTCGAAAACGGTCTCCAGAGTGGAAACTTTCGAATACGCTCCGAATACGGATACGTGTGGACGGTCGTATCCGCAAATTTTCGAATACGCTGACGTAAACACGATTTTGCGCATGCTCAATAAGAAAAACTATCCGTCATAGGGATTAGGCACTAGCATGCATAAGGGCGGATCAAGAAATTTCCGTATACGTGTGGACGGGGCCTAATGCTATGGCTCAATTCGGGAAGCACGGGTGGCGTAACGGTGAGAGCGCTCGCCTCTCACCCAGGTGGTGTGCGACACGGTCTCGCAAAGCACGATAGGTAAAAAAGGTGAATTGGATCATTTTCTCCTGACTGTCGTAGTGTACAGATTTCTACCGGTCTCTATAGTAGATCTCTTCAATACAAGTAATCTTTCAAATTAAAATGAATTTAGTTTCTGGGTGAAGGAACAGATTTTGCTAATAAACCAAAAACAAATCAACAACAAAGCCGTCTTAATAGTCAACAAAATACGCAAACTTGGACAAAACACTTGAAAAACTTCATTATTATAACTTGACCTTGAAAACAAAGACCATATTATGATTTAAAGTCGTTCATAGTTTAGAGGAAAAGCTTATGAAGATAATCTAGACGTTTTTCATAGTTCAACCTGCTAAAAACTCATGCAATAAATAACTAATATCACCTTAGTTTTGAGATTTTTTATACACTTTGAACGAGTAGGTGTCAAAAGAAAACACCTGTCGATGAAGACTGCTCGTTGTGTGTAAGTTGACACCTTTAGCTTCGTGACTCGGGCAATTTCAAAACTTTGAAAACACTCGTGAAATGAATCCTTAATTTTACTCTGTCCCATATACGATTACTTATACTAACTAAGATGGAAGCACCTTCACGTTAACATGAAATTTTTGCCATTAATGATCATTTTCTTTTTTCTCGTGGTGAACAACAAAAGATGAATTATCGAAGACCATTGATATTGAGCAATATTTATCAAAGTGGTATTAAATGAAATGAAAGTTTAATTAATTTTGCGACAACTAATCAACAATAACACACATACAAAAATAACGCGTAGAATACAATGAATAAGCGATCTGATTTTTGGATATCATTATTGAACCGAATAATGAAGTCATATAATAACAAGCGAGCATTATATAGACCCTATGAATAAAGCCATGCTCAAGGAATACTTCTTTACACT